TGAAAGGCCTGGTATGCAATACAGGCAAGTCTTCTCTTATACATGTAATGTATAGATGTCCATTTTGCTATGCTAAGAACTTCATGTTTTGGGATATTTGTGCTGATCTTGTGAATCAGTCTGGCAGCACGGATGTGCGAATCCTCGAGGTCGGCCAACAAGTTGGAAGATCCCCACAAAGATATACAATAAGTTACGCTTGGCAGAATACCTTTGAAGTAAATAGAATCCAGAGTGGATCGGTTGAAGGTCCTCATCTGTTTAAGCTTAGAAATCTTTGCATTGAAGTTTGAGTTCACCATTTTAATATGAGGAGACCAGTTAAGCTTGTTGTCAAGTTTGACTCCTAAGCAAGATGAGCTGAAAACCCAGTTGATTGGTTTATCGTCTATAGTGATTTGTCTAATTGGGCCGATGAATGGTATTTTTGAGATAAACATGACTTCAGACTTGGCTGGATGGATGAACATGGAGTTTAATTTAGACCAGGTAAGTAGTTGATGCAAGAGAATTTGAATTTGGGTTGAAATGGAGTCGATAGAGTTTCCAATGATGTACTCCACTTGCGTACTCTGATTCTCTAACACTGAGCTACAGGGAACTCTTTGGTTAGCTTGGCTATTATAGGTAACTATTACAATCCCACCTGTACCAGAGACATCATTGAACACACTTAGTAGCACTACTTACGTTAAAATTTTGATGAACGTCAAAGTCCAAGTACGAGTCTGAGCGTAGAGTGACAGTGTAATGGTAAGTCTTGGTTTTGTGTGGTGCTTGAAACTTCAGATCCAGCTGCAGCGAAAAAGCAACAACACCAGTTGAAATTTAATCTACTTGCAAACATTTTCGTTTTCATTTTCATAATCTTCAGCGAGAGGTATAAACACAAAGTTCTCGTCGTTTCTTTTTCTCTAAAGAGAACGACTTTGAAATGAATATTTTACATGAAATCTAAGTTTCAACAATCAGGCGCGTTGCTCCCTTTAAGCCAGGAAGCCCGGGCTTACAAAATTTTCTCGGAATATTCATTTTTTCTTGGAATATATATCCCTTCCCCGGCCGCACTACACTTAGGAGGTACGGAACAGGCTTACAAGCCAAGAATGACTTGTTACACCCCTGACAATGATGTAATTGATCTCAAAGTGATCACCCAAGCTTGGAGAGAAACAATTTGAATTCGTAATCAACAGAAACATTTCTGTTATGCACGGGGTTTAGTTTTAGGGGTTTCAAACAACTCTTCAAAAAATTCCGCACACCCGGAGATTAAAAGGAAGGATTCTGTCCTTTGATGGTGCAAGCTTCGGCGGATAGCAGCAGTAGAGTCATCTACCTTTTCTTCGTCTTTAAGGTTGTATATCATTTGAGGCAGTGTCATAATCTCTCTTCTTCTGCGATCTGTGACATATATCCACCACCATTCATGCTTTTCCTGTAAAAGTAGCGAGAAAAACAGTAAAAATAAACTTAAACTCGCCACTAATTTGTGGGATTTAAAGAAATATGTAATTTTCCGTGAGGAAACAAAATTAAATTCAAGTCAAACCTCTGGAAAATAAGGAGCATGGACGATATGGCTTTCTTTTGACTTCGGATCCATAATTGCATCTCGAGTCTTAGATTCGGCTTGCAGTCGGTCCCACTCGTCTTCATCTTCGGAATCCCGAGCACGAACATCGTGTGGAGCGTCACTGTCATCATCTTCACCGAAACTAAGAAATGAAAAACATACGAACGTACGTGATCAAGAATAATCTCGTGGGGGTAGGAGGTTTTAAAATTCAAAGGTCATGAATTTCTTCAAGCGCCCGCTTTCACTGCAACACTGAATAACACGATAAATATTATCTTTATTTATGCAAGTGAGTTTTACCTGAAAAAATGCAGCAGTCATCAGATGTATCAGCATATCCACGAAGTGCTAAAACAGAAGGCGTTCGATTGGAAGGAGAGAGGTGGAAGCGTTCCATAGCAATCCCTCTTAATAGTTCTACGTAAAGCACTGTGCACCGTGAAAAGTTAAGCCTTGAGTTTCACCTTTGTCATTTTCAATCCGTGCTGATCTTCCTCCTCCTTAACCATCCATTTTCCTCCCTGGCTTACAACTAAATCCTGGGTATTTTTCTATCTTACATTGTACCAAACTAATATTTTCTACTTTCCCTCAAGGTGAAGGTAGCTTTGCTCTCCCGGTGAGAAAAATAAAAATGACTTAAGCTACCTGCTACTATCCAGGTCAGACTCCTGTTCTTCAGGTTTTCTTCTCTCTATCTTTATTTCTTCAATTTTGTCATTCGTGTTATCGTCTTCTGCTTCATCATGGTCCTCCTCCTCGTCTTCTACTTCTTCCTTCTCCGCTTCCACGCCTTCATCTTCCTCCTCTTCCTCTTTCTTGTTCTTCTTTCCATTTGATTCTTCTTTTTCTTCCGTAGTTTTCTAAAGGATTAATTAATAGTCGACATTTTTAAAATTAATGTTTCGATAGTTCTTCTGTCATCTTCAGTTCTGATATTTAAGAAGTACAAAGTTGAATTTAAACTGTATAACAAAATGCTCATGGGACGTAACAACAATAGTAACAAAATGATGTATGGAATTACAAGTGAAGTTTTAAATTAAGGTGATAAAGTTGACGACTGAGTGTAGATTGCTCACATTGAATGTGAATCGCTTCTTTGATTTTGAGTCGGAGAACTGTGGAAGCGTGATCTAAGATGCTAAAACACTCATCAGAACAACGAGTGCGACATTGTTGAGATTTTGTACATCTCTGAAAATGAAGTCCTATCACTGCCCAAGTGCTCACACACACGTGTAAATAAATGCCGAGAACTGCGACTTGAAATAATTACATAATCATTTTTTTTCCCTCTTCATCGCTGCACGTGGCGAAAAGCATTAAGATGAGACACTAGAACTGAAAAAATCCCTACTGGATCAGTTCAGAGACAGAACATATAACAAAGACATCGTCACTCATTTTTTTCTCTGTCCCAACCTCGCAGCAATTGAGTAAAATATCTCGGTTAAAAACATCATTTCTTTCAAAATCACCCTGTGAAAGATCGGCTTGATTCAATAATTTTTACCTCTTTTTTGTCTTGCGAGTTTTTCTTCTTAGGTTGCTGTTTCACGGGTTTTTTCTTTGGTTGCTGTTTTTGCGGCTTGGCCTTTTTCCCTTTCTTTTTGTTTTTCTGCCAGACTTTCTGGCCACCTGGTTGTGGAGAGCCCTGTTGACAAACACGAGATAATTTACTGATGTATGAAATTTCTTAGCGAAAAAACATTCACGTTTCCTTCCCTCCCCCCTCAGCACCCACTGTAAAGAGCGTACCTCCATATCATCAACATTTATTAACTAGAGGTATTGATACCCCTGTGGATGGAATGCCACTCCATCACAACTAACCCCACCCCCCTCCCCCTTGCATTAAGTTAAGTTTCCGTGACAGTCCGCTGACACCTTCACCATTCAATCAGTCAATAATTAATTCCTTCATTCATTCATTCATTCTTGGTAAAGAAAAGCACTGTGACAGTTAAGCACTCCACCAAGCGTATAGTTTAGTGAAGAAAGACCTGGCCATGACATGTTCCTTTTGATACGCAGTACAGCTCACTAACTGTTAGACAACTTCATCTCACAAGTGCTTTTAGTAATTATGTTAAAAAAGAGATACTTTCCATAAAAAAAACTACCTTTGGTTCTAAGGTTTCATTTCGATTCACGCCATCAAGTGCTGATCTATCATCTTCATTTTCCTCCTCAAATAGCTCCTGTAAAGTAAAACTAGACAATTAGAAGGGAAAGATTTATCTTCCACTAGCCTCTGCAAAGGTTTTCCATACTTCAATAGGTTGCAGGAAGGAGACGGAAAGGGGGAGAGGGAGGGGAAGTGGGAGGGAGGGGAAGGGGGAAGGGGGAGGGGGGACAATACTTTCCCTGCACCTATCTTCCTAACCTCCACCTGCACGCAGTGTGTAACGCAGGGTTATCTCTATTGTAATACTTTGAATTCAAACGTCACACGGTGACGAAAACCACAAAAATTTACCCAATTAATATTTACGACCCAACTTTTCATCTTGAAATCATTATTTTTGTCAAGTGGAAGAAGCAACTCACCCCAAGATTTCGCCTTTTAATTGTAACAGATACAGTCACTACTGCTCCAGCTGTGATCACCCCTGCATCGTCATCATCGTCATCCAAGACTGATCAAACAAAAATATGTACACAGGGTTTGAGATGTGAACTTCAGGAAAACTGTTTAGTGCTTTAATCACAATAACGGTCAAAATTAGCTTGATTTCCCCTCTCTTCTCGTTCATCTTGCTTGACATACTTTGACCACAACTGGGAACTTTATAATTATTGTATCTTCAAGCTAATAATGACTCCTAAAGCGTGTCTACTGTTGCAACAAAACTGCAGAAATCACGTTGTTTGGCAAACTTAAAAACGTTTTTCTCTTCTCAAGTCCATGTGATAAATTTTGACTCGTGGACTCAGGTGATTATTCTGGTATGAATCCACTTCAAATTTTATTTCCACAATAGGAATAACTGAGCACTTGTACTGTAATCTACAAATTGGTTTCATAAATTTCAAATGATTTGAGAATCTTTGCTAACTTGGATGAAATTTGTGGATTAATTTTGTGCTTTATGGAAATTCTAGTTTCCTTCTGATCAACACAGTCAGTTTGTATGGACAAAATGAAAAAGCTGGAAGAGTGAGAGGAAGAAAAGGAAGAGAGCACACTCCTCTTAAGAACCCTGCTAAATATTAGGGACCTTAAGCAGTCAGGACGGCAACGCCAAGGAAGACTTTGATTAAAAAATGAATTTCTACTCTTAGTTAGAATTTCAAAAATGGCTCCATGAGCTTACTGTCTCGTACGGCGCCACAGCTCAACTTCAGCATGATGTATAAAAGTAGCGTTGAGTTCCAAATGGAAATTAAAATAATTTGCCGTCACGGTTTCGGTTCGCAGACGACGCAAATTTTGGCGATTTCACGTTGTTGTTTTGCATAGGACGGCTAAGAAATGTACAAAGTTTCAAAATGCACGTGCTGAGCTATTGTTCTGCCAATTAGATCTCTTGTTTTTCCACGTCCTCGTTGCCGTCGCCGTCGTGGTTGCTTAAGGTCCCTATTTCTTCACCCCGCATATTCGTTTGCCTCCACTTAACTAACAGATTGGAAAAGTCTTAGATACAAATTATATCTATAAACATAATGCACAACGTTGTCTCTCAGTGTTGTGTAGCTGTTAAGCCTGATAGATAGCATAATAAACTAACCGTGAGGTTTAACGGCCATTTCCACAGAAGGAAACATTGAGCAAACATTAATGACATCTTCATACTGTTCCCCAGTTAGGTTTCTCAAAAGGGCTCTGTCATGTGATGCAACAAGATGTCAATTAAGTTGAAAAGACAAAGTCAGCACATCACCTATAAAACATTAAGTGTTCCATCATTCACACTTGAACAAATATTGATTGCAGGAAAGACAAGACTAACCTTCTGTCCACATCTTTCATACTTGCCAGTTGCTTGATGGAACGAACACTTCGCTGCGAACAAAGAGCAACAACAACATTATACTAAGGCACCTTTTTCATAATTTCATCATATTTTTTCTACCTTTATCCCGTTATTCCTTTTTTCCCCAGTACTTTGGGAATATGCTTTATTCTTTCTTTACCCTATGTATTAGTGTTACAGCATAATTATCAATTTCTGTTAATATTTGCATTTGCAAACCTTAAAAATACATTTGCAACTGGGGCATCCCAAAACCTTCTTAGAATTGATAAAAAAACTTTTGCAATTAATTGTTTACATGACCAATGCATCGTGCTTTTGCTGCCACAGAAGTGAAATGCTTCAAGAAAGAGTTAGTTCTGCCACTTGAAGAGTAACTAAAAATTGGGGGTCCTACTGAATTGCAAATTGTGATTAATACTTCTTTAGGAGAAAAGGACTTGTAACTTAACCTATGTATGCCAGTGACAATCTATGTTTTAATTATCATCTAGGATTGTCTTTATTGATGAAATCAGGATCTTCTACCTTTTTGGTGGTGAAGTGCCGTAAATTTTCCTGATTGAGATGAGGCAGTTGTAACAAAGGAGACTGCTTGTCCCATAGCCCCTGAACCATCATTTGACTGACACGCATGCAGTTCTCCACTGTCTCCAGCTGTGGCATGTTTGTAGCTGAAAAATGAACAAATAATCAAGCTAGGTATCCTTAAAAATGCAGTGGCTTTAGCATATAGGACTTCAGATCAAAAGATCCAGGCTAGCTCAGTGCATTGTGTTGTACTCTTGGCTAGGACATCTTTCTCTCTATGCCCCTTACAAAAAATTTTCAATAGGTTGTACTCTTGGCTAGGACATCTTTCTCTCAATGCCTCTTCCAAAAATTTTACACAGATGATAATGGTGAAAGGAACAAATGCTGGTGGACGAACACAAAAGCTAATGAGATATCTATTGTTTACATCCACCAACATGGTGGAAATGATGTAACGTGCAAACCACGTATAGCCTTGTTTATTTACATGTTGTGTTCTTAGGCAAGACACTTTACTCTCACAGTGCCTCTCTTCACCCAGGAGTTTCAATGGGTACCGGCAAATTTAATGCTAGGGGGTAACCCTACGATGGACTAGCATCCCATCCAGGGGGGAGTAGAAATACTCCTAGTCGCTTCATGCTACAGAAACCGAAGTTCAGCGCCGGCCTGATGGGCCACTTGGCTCGTAAACAGACTTTACCTACCTTACCTATTCATTTACTAGTGATAATAGGAAGGCAAAAACATATATGGATTTGATTCAACTTCATCCACAAATTTCAACCTACCACTTCCTTGTCTGACCATGACAATTAGTTGTGATACAATATTGACCATTTCTTGAATGAGGAATGGACTCTTTTGAAGTATTAGGTCAAGATCTGAAATGCCAACATTAAAAAAAGGGTTTTTTTTTTCTCTTTGGATAATAAATTAACTTAACACTCATTTATTTACTTACTGATCAGACACTAACAATATATCCCAGTTTAAAGGTCATTTGCCAGCCAGAAATGTCCTTAATAGTGAAGATCCTGAGCCACATACAGTCTTACTTGTCCTGACATAACCCATACAGAGAAATCGTACAAAATCAGATTGGATATGATGGAAAATTTAAAAGGGTTAATGATAATGGGATTTTACTTCATCTTTAAGGTAAGGATAACTCTGGCAAGCCCATGGGTTAATCAGTACCTTAACTATACATACATCTTGTAAAAATGTTTTCCCTGCCTCACCTGATTTGAGTGTCAGTCGTGGAAGCTCTAGACGTGACAAGTGAGCATGGATGAGAGCTCTTGCTTTGACACTGTAAGGGTGGCAAAATGGTGGCTCTCTGTTCTTATCCCTCAGGTTGGGCAAGTCTCGCATTAACTAAGACAAGTAACAAATCAATCAGAAAAATATATATGGCACAGACATCATTATATGTACTACAGTCAAACCTCAGTTATCCAGAATCACCAGGACTAGATGAAATAGTCTAGATAATCAAGGGTATGGGGATTCAAGAATATGAATCCCACCCCAATAGCCAATACAGCCTGAAATCTCACTCAGCAACAAAGCAACTCTAAGCCCATCAGACCTCATTTGAATGTTCTTCATTAGTTACAATTTGTGCAAGAACTACAGTAACTTTAATTTGCTATTTGCAAGTGAAAAAAACTCACCTTTACCTCAACTTTCAACACCACAGTTTTTAAAAAAATATGGTCTCAGATCTTGATCATGACAAATAAATATTCATGACAAAATTGGGACCAGAGAAAAAGTCCAGATAATTGATATATAAGGATAATGGAGGTTTGGATAATCAAGGTTCAACTGAACTGAACTATAAACATCTTATGCCCTAACATCAGTATGCATATTCTCCATACTGATCTTCATACATTTCCTGAGGTGCTAACAAGGAGAATTCATTCAAAAATCAAGAGCTCCGACCTATAGTTGACGATCATTTCCTTTGTTCTTGCAACCTTAACATTTGATTCAACAGAGAAACCATGGGGAGAAATTAGATTCTAGTTGTTCTTGGAGGTTAACAGGTTAAGTTAAAAATAGAAACACCCATGACCTATAGTATCACCTCTGGTAGTTCTAAATTATCACTTGGCCTCTCTTGAACTTCATTATTGTGACCTTTCTCAAACTCCCAGGATCCAGCCAAAATCATTAACACACCTGTGAGGAGAGTGCTCAATAATCAATTTTTGAAGCTTTGTCAGCCAAAACATAATATTGTGTTTTTTCCTAACAGTTTAATATTGTATGTACTCCAAATGTGCAGAAAAGTCACTTACATATTAGGTGACTTTAATTGAATTTATTAACATGCAATATTAATAATAGTATATGTTAATTCAATTT